AGGTTCTTGCTAAGGAATCTTTTACGCGATCAACATCCAGATGGCATCTATAAGCCTATCATCCTATCCAGCAACCTCTAAATGGCATCTATAAGCCCATTCCCATCACTGCTACTATGTGAGCGCAAATTTCTGGGCACTCTAGTGTTCAATCATCTTCTACCCTCGGATTACGAAAGGCACGTCAGCCAATCTGCATCCTCAGGTCTAAGAAGATTGAACAGGGGCAACTGTTGTACCCCAAAATTTGCCCTCCCATATTCTTCAAGAAATTGCCAAGTCATGCTTCAAAATTCCCCAAGGGGTGCACAGTGCAAAGGTCTCCTATACAGTCAAAATTAGGGTTTGTGTTCTGATCAAGAAAATGAAATTTCCAAAGGCCCAATCAAGTCTCACATGCCTACAAATATGGTCAAGTATCCTCATATCAAGTTTCAAGGCATTCAGTACAAAATTGCACAGTCAAAACCCTAAATTGCACTACAGTCAACTGCAGGGGCAAAATGGTCATTTAACAGTCAAAAGTTCAAATTTTTGGTCAACATATCATTTTGAATCCACAAACATCATTTGATCAATGCTTGATCATGATTCTCAAAATTTGGCTCAGAAATCATCAAGATGCAAAAGTTTCCTTATTTGGACAGCTGAAAAAGTCAACTGAAATTGACCAGGGCATAACTTTCACATGGATTATCAGAAAAATTCCATCCAAATCTCATTTTGAAGAGAAAGACATTTCCTACAACTCATCTTCATACTTCAAGTCCAAGAAATGCTCTCACAAAAAGTTATCAATTTCAACATTATAGGTCATTTTCAAAAGTCAACAAAAAGGGACTTTAAGTCAAAGGCCATAACTTGAGATTGGTAAATCAAAATGACATGGGACCAAAGGCATTGGTTAGAGGACTCAAAGACCTTTCCAAAATGTCCAAGAACATGAGAAAAGCTTAAAAATTGAGCAAGTTATGCCTTGTGGAAGTTGGGAAATTTTTGGATATTTTGAAAAGTCAACATTACTTCAAATGACCTAAAATTGCTAATGGGCCCATTTTTCTTCCACAATTCATCATCCATGACATATGCACGACTACTTGGCCCAAAGGGAAGTCTTTATTCATTTTTTATTTATTTATTTGAATTTTTATTTATAATAATTCATTTAAATCAAAATAAATGTATGAAAAATGCTAACCTAAAGTTTTAAATCTTTTTATGCATGTTTCACTCTCAAGATTTCGTACTTGTACCAATATGGAAAGATTTGGATTGATTGGAGATGATTTGAACAAAAAGCACATGGAAAATATTTGGAAAATAATGATGGAAAATCAAATCTTCAAATTCATGAATGAAAGAGATTTTGATCAATTTTGTTAACCTAATTTGTTCACTACATAAGCTAGAATGAAACCCTAATCATAAAACACACAGAGCTGCGCAGAAAGGCATCAAGAGAACTTGAAATTTTCTCTAAAAAAGTCAAAACTGAAAGTTCACTTCCAGGGCGATTCAAGACCTAATTCTTGTTCCATTAGCTTCCTTGAAGGTCACTGGACGTATTCCAATCAGAAACAACCATCAAAACGCAAGGAATTGGTATACAGCATTCAAGATATTTCATGAAAAATTCATAATCGTACTTTGAAATCTATGCATTTTCATAACATTTTATTCATTGATTCTTATTCCTTGAACGATTCTGAAGCTAACCAATACATTTAATTGTCTTTTTATGTGCTACACGCGATTATGCCATGTTTGAGTTTTAGGGTTTGCAGAGTTTTGAATTGGGGATTTTAAAACGAGGAAAAATTGAAACTTATGACCACCATCATTCAAATCAACGCGTTTGGACGAACAAGAACCAACCCTCGCGCTCAATTTATGAGTGCCTGAGGGCTAATCGCTATTTTTTAATAGTTGGCCTAAGAAAACGCCATGAAAACCGTTGCTAATATGTTTTCGTTTCAGGAAAATAAAACCAAACGGGGAAGATGATTATGTGGCTGCCTGTGAGTGGAGCATTCAAATCTTCGCGCGCGTTTCCAAGCCATTAACCAACTTTCTTTTATATTATTTGCTTATTATTATATATTAACAACGCGAATTTGGTTCAGCTGGCAAGTGATAGTGGTGGCAAAGCACATGACCTGGGTTCGAGTCCCAGGTCCTCACACTTTCAATATTATTTTCCAATCACGTTCACATGCGTTTCAAGGCTGCAGACGCACCATACTCCTCTTAATCAAGCCAGCCACGCGTACGTTGAGAGGGATCCAAGGGCACTGATTGAAAGAGCACCATAGGCTTGAGTCAACGCGTATGCACGTGTCATGCAAAAAGTCAAACGGACCAGGCTTATTGGGCCAGAATTTCCAGGATCTAACCTCCATATTGGGGTCTGAACCCCCAGGTTTGCACATTTTTTTTATTTTCTTTACCTTTTTTGTATTGTTATTTTTTATTCCTCTTAATTATTATTTGTTCAGTTAATTAATTATTTTTCATAAATATAAAAAATGCATAAAAATCAAAAAAGATAAAAAATATAATAAATATTTTATTTTAATATTTCTTGTAAATAAATGCATGTAAATTAATTAGTTTAAAATAGGGTTTTAATTTTAATTTCTTTCATAACAAAAATCTAAAAAAATATAGAACTAGGTTTAATTAATGTTTTATTCCTTTTCAATTTTTCTTTTTCACAATAATATTATTTATTTTATTTATTTTCATGAATTAAATTGCATATAAAAATTAGGTTTAATTTAGGTTAAATTCTAACGTCTTCTTGATAAATTAAAATAAAATAGAATTAGGGTTTGCGTCTTATCTTAATTTTAATTAAAATTTTTTATATTAAAGCTTAAAATACTAAAAAACACAAAAAAATAATTCCTTTCCCTTTAATTAATTAATTCATCATTAATCCAATTTTTGCAAAAGGGTCCAACGCCCTCGTTCGTAATTTCTTATTTCTTTGCATATTTATCTTATGTCATTTAAATAATTATGTACCTCTCCCGAAGCCATGTAAATTACTTCTCGCACTTTTAATTCTTTATTTGCTTCTCTTTATTTTTCTGTCAAATCGGGTCCTGGTTAATTTTGGCGGTGTGGACCCGCGCCTTTTGTAATAGCTTTAGATCTTTACTTTCCCGCAAATATTTTAACTGTTAATCAAAGCATGAAAGACTGTATGGATAAAATAAAAACAAGCGTAGAACACTAATAAACATGACAAGACAAAAATAAATGAACATGACACACAAATCACACACCACCCCTAGGGTACGCCTCACTGTTGCCTTGCCTTCGAAAGGTGATCGTCGAGTAGAGGATGTCTTAGTAAGTCCTCATGATCCGGGAACCTAGCATGAGGGTAGCTTCTAAGGTGTCTTCCCATTGCTCTGGTGATCACCATGTCCCGAACCTCGAATTGACCCGAACACCTCCAACGGTGGTGCTACCTACCTCTCAATGGTGGGATGACACTACTTTAAAGGACATCTACACAGACGAATTCCTTAGGGTAGGTAGACGACTCTAGATACTTGCTCTAATTTCAAAACAAATCAAAAAAAATACTTTTCACACCGACACCTTTTCAAAAAAGCTTTCGAAAGCATTTTTCAAACACTCTTGAGGACCGATACAAGAGTCGAACTGAAATTTTCAAAGAAACTTTTTAAAACCCACAGTTGAAAAGCAAACAAACAATTTTGAAAACACAAGTGAGCAAGTATCTAAGAGCCCATGGATAACCATGGATAGAAAGGGTGCTAACACCTTCCCTTTCTATAACCTACCTCCCGAACCGAGAGCAATCTCTATAAGGAATTTTTCTGTGCTTTTGTCCTTTCCATTTGGAGAAAATAAAAGACGGTGGCGACTCTTGCTTCCGCGACATTTCGCGAACCAGCGTTAAACAGTCAGTTCCAGATCCACCGATCACACTAACCATGCAGGTCCACCCCCACCCCACTGCAAAGGAGATTAGAGTCACCGTTTAAGATTAACTGTTATCCGTCTCTCTTCATTTCTGGTTCCTTCTTGAAGTTAGAACATTCATTTCTAATTCTTAAAAGAAACATGACCAAACTAACAATCGTGAATATCCAAGATATACACAATCTCCAAGCACGAGGCCCAAAGGAGTGAAGTGCATAAAATTAATGTCACCCTAATCACCAATAAAAAGAATAAAATATCTAAAATATGCACAATCCTCAAATATAAGTCTTCAAAGAGCCAAATACTTATAGTTGAAATTGTCGTACTAATTCTACCATATCCACCGATCAAGTTATAAATTCCCATCCATTTCAGAGATGTTGAATATATATGAAATACAAAATAGTTTCTATTACATTTATTATTTAAATGTGCATACCTACGAAGACAATGCACTAGTTTTTCTTTTTTTTGTTTTGACACAAGACAATGCACTAGTTGATTACTAGGAGGGGGTGGAAAAGGACTACTAATTAGAATTTGCTTAAATACATCAAACTTAGATAAAATAATTAAGATATAGAATTTAAATTTATTAGTTTTTAAAAGTTTTACTGTAAAATCTGATATCACCTTTTCAAAAATTTGGTTTGATCTCTTAAATGATTTTAAAAATCTATTTTAAATTAATTTTTATTATAAAAATATTTCACCTTTATTTAAATTATATTATAAACCATTAAATAGTCTGAATTTTGAGTATTTATTTTAACATTATATATGAAACTACATTTCAATAATGAATACTCCATATAGTTTCTAAAATTAATCAACGTTTAAGAGAGCCTATGTAATAGAAAACGGGCCTTAACGATCCCCCAATAAAAAGCCCAAAATCAAAAGCCCAATAAACAGAAGTTATATTTTCCGAAACCCTAACAAACTCATTGTGTGCCTCAACATCCGAAAAAAACCCCTAATTTCCCTTCATCTTCATCCTTCAGCCACTGCACACACATTCACTCACCGTCGCAACCATGGGTCGTGTCAGAACCAAAACTGTTAAGAAATCCTCCCGTCAAGTCATTGAACGTTACTACTCCCGCATGACCCTGGATTTTCACACCAACAAGAAAATCCTGGAGGAAGTCGCACTCATTCCCACCAAGAGACTCCGCAACAAGATCGCTGGATTTTCTACTCATCTCATGAAGAGGATTCAGAAGGGACCCGTTCGTGGAATCTCGTTGAAGCTGCAGGAGGAGGAGCGTGAGAGGCGTATGGATTTCGTTCCTGATGTTTCTGCTATCAGGACTGATCATATTGAAGTGGACAAGGAAACCCTAGACATGCTTGCTGCTCTTGGGATGTCCGAGATTCCCGGTGTTGTCCAGGTGGATCCGGTTCCTGTTCAGCCGATTCCGTTCGGTCGTGGTGGTGCAGCTGCTGGTGGACCTGGTGGAAGGAGGTTTTGAGATTGAGGTTTAATGGTTTTTGTTTTAGAGTTATTTGGATTTTGATAATGAATGTGTTATTGAGTTTTGGATTTTGAATCTTATGTTTATTTTGGTGTTATGGAATTCCTATGTTTATTTTGTTTCATTATAATTAACTCTCTCTGTCATGAATTAATATTACTGCATAATATTTGGATAATGTTTGTTACCTTTCTGTTGATGTGAGGCAATTTTTAACCAAATTGTTCATTGTTATGGCTTATTGGTTAATTTTCTTGAATGTCTTTATAAATTTAATCTTATTTGCTGTAAGATTAACATGGATTGTTCTGTAATATGGTTTGGAACCTGCATTTGGAGTTGGTCATATTAATGATTTATACGGACAATGATTTATATGGACCTGTGTGTTCATTCTCGGATTCCTATCAAAATTTAATAATTGGAAACTGACTTTGATTCTGGTTTATGTTTATAATTGCTGTTTTTGATTCTGGTTTATGTTTATAATTGCTGTTTTTGATTCTGGTTTATGTTTATAATTGCTGTTGCAATGTACACGGGTTTAAAAGTTGTAATGTTTTACTGCAAGTAAGGAATTGAATTGAATTTTCTTCCCTGGATTATCACTTCTGCGGGGTGTGTGTTGTTTTGAAAATTTGCTTATGATATGGATTCATTCTGGTTTTTGAAAATATGGTGTTAGAAAAATTAAATTGTATAGTAATTGTTTGATGCTCATGGTGTTAGTGGTTTAAGTGATGTGTTTTGTACTGTTCAAGTTGAATAAGAATTAGTCCATAGGAGCATGGAAGCAAAAACCAATTCCTTATTGTGCACATGTATTTCCTTATTTTTACGACAATATGTACTTGTATTTCTGTTTCATATGTTTTGGCCTTTACCCTGACTTCCCCTTTTACTATATGCCCTTAACCCTAACATCTCATTCCTACTCACTGCTCCCCTTTTACTATATGAAGGAATGTGTTCTCTTCATATTCTTTTAATTTCGGTGAATCTAGTTTTTTTCTTTCAACATTTATGAATAAAGCTCTGTTTGACCCATCAAAAGTTTCACTGATATATAGAATTTGTTCCCAAAAAATGAACAAATCTCATTTTCCATCAATATCGTAACAATATTCATAATGTAAGCCTTTTCAATCTTTTCACTAGTTTAAAGATAAATAGACACGATAATCAGGAACAGATCTGCGTATGTAATTGAATGTGGTTTGGCAGTTCGTGGCGGTGGTTGAGACTCAGTGCGTGGCGGTGATTTGTTGTTCACACGTATAAAACTGAAATGCAACAGAAAATTTTCACCGATCCTGGTGAACTCATGATCGGCTGATTTCTTCAATTAGGATGATATCGTGTGTGTATGTTATGTCTGAAGTGATAGGATATAATTGTATGGTATGGCTGATTTCTTCAATTAGTACTACAGCACAAATATTATAAATTTAGTCTTACTAGTTGTAAATCTTATAAAAGAGAAATATCATTTTTCAACGACATTAGTTCAAAATCACTCTTATTCTTCAAAAGTTGTACCTCATGAATTCAAATATGATGTTCATAATCACTGCTAGCCTTCAAAAGTTGTACCTCGTTGGTTCAAGTTCATAATCACTCTTACCTTTCAAAAGCTATAACTTATGCATTCAAATACTATATGAATAATATATATATCAGATACATTAATTATTTAATATATTATATTATTTAATATATTATATATTTTTCTTTATACATGAGATCAGAAAAAATATATTAAAAGTAATTATTTAATATATTATATATTTTCTTTATACATAAGATCAGAAAAAAATATATTAAAAGTTCTTAAAACGCGAGTTGTGTCAATTTGAAATACATACTAGAAGTTTCTTTCACGAATAAATAAAAGAGTTAAATTATTTTTTTAAAACTTTAGTTAGCTTTAATATTTGGGTTTTGTTACATGTTTGAGTTATCAATACTAAATAGACATTACTTTTGATGTCAACGTGGCTAGTCAATTTCTAAATACTTAATATAATGTAATTAATTTCTAAATACTCCATTTAATGACCATTGGAACAATGTGACACATTCTTAAATATATAAAGACTGTGTCAGGTAAAAGATTATTTTATGAAAACAAGGGTACTATCTAAGTCTGGCTATTTTGATTTTCAAGCACCATCGTTTGATTTCATTAGATGAAATCTTGACTTAGAAGTATCAGAGTTTGAATAACACATCAATTGACGACTTCACTTGCCATCATCAAAATCAAAAGTCTTGATCAACAATTTTAATAAAGATTTTACTTTAGAGTGTTGTCAACATCAAAATTAAAATTAAATAGATCGTTGTAGACGTCATTCCTGTAAGCATATAAATCTACACACGCCATGCACTCTGCACCAACGAATTTCATTTTGTGAGGGATAAATTCCAATTCTATTAACTTTTGATTCAAGTTATATAGCATGGAGTCACTCTAACATGTTAATTCATTTGTGGATCATGAATTCAGTGGAAAGTTCTTTTGCTCAGAGCATTGTGTTTCTTGACAAATCAATTAATGTTTGGAATAAACTCAACATTTTTTTCATGGTTACTTCATCCGAATTTTAGAGATTTATGGGACCAAGAAAGATACTCAATCTGTTTTAGAATTCTTCAGTGCATTAAAGGTACTTCGGTAAGAACTTGAATGTTACCTTTTGTAGCAGTAAAAAATTGAGATTAAGCTATTGATTAACTTAATTCACAAAGCAAGAGTCGCCACCACACTTTATTGTTTCCAAAGGAATGAGAAAAGAGCGAATAAAATCCACAAAAGTTTTTAAAATAAAACTAATAAAACAAAGAGAACAAGGTTTGGGGTTTGGCTATGCAAAGGAAAGATAACACAATAAACATTAATGGTACTCCATGGAAACTTCTTGAAAATCAGTGTGTTTGGTTAAAATTGGTTGTTTGCAAAAATATTGTAGAGATGAGAAAAGAAATAGTTTTATTATTTTGATTCGGTAAAACTTCAAGATTTTTGTGCCTACAAACCTCCAATGTGCAATGAAGAAATCAGAACCACGTAGTTCTTCTAAAAAAGAACAAAATTTGTTTGTTTGATTGATTTTAGATGAAGAGACATTTTGTCATCTTAAGGAGAATACTCAACTAATCATTCGCAAACATGAGAAAGATAGATCTTTGCATCACAATGAAAGAAGGGCTCCAGCTTGGATGAAAATCAACATGTCAATAACTCTTTCAAGTGGAAAAAGATCAATACCATATCAATCAATATTATGGAGATATGAGAATTACATCTCAACTATGAAGAAGACTCATGTCTAATATTTAGAGAGAAGATTTTAAAATGAAAAGCCAAAATGGCATAAAGATTTAAATGAGTTTATGTGTTTTTAAGTCTTTTGAAACTATTTTAATATGCTTAAGATGTCTTAGTATTTATTTAAGAAAAGAAAGTTTGAAAATGCACTTGACAAAGTCATGGTTTTCAATGAAAGGAGTTTAAAGTTTGAAAATAAAGAATGTTCTGAAAAAGAGAAAAACTTTGAAAATTGAAGAAGATGAGCAAGAGATGAAGGGACTATCCTAAAGCATAAAGTAAAAATTAAAGGTAGAAAAGATAGATTTGATCAAGCAAGAGCAATCATTTTGACATAAGTCAAACTATGCATCCATTCCTTTTGGATTAAGCCACACACTTTAAGCAAATAAACAAATGAACATTATAAGCATCAAATGAAAATTTAGTGCCTCAGGTGCAAGCTCAAGGTCTCAGCATCAGATGGAAATTTTAAGTCACAGATGAAAGTTCTTGCATAAAACAAAACACACAAAAGCAAACAGACAAATGAAACCTAATGATCAAATGAAAGTCCTAAGGTCTCAGATGAAGGCTCAAAGGTCTCAGATGGATCAAGGTTTCAAGGTCTTGTTGTACCCTAATTTTTAGCCTAAGATACCACCTCATATGCATCATTGCATCTCTAACAAAATACAAAAATAGCTTGTGTGTTTGATACTTGTGTCAAGCAGGATTTTGAATCAAGAAATTTTTATCAATAAAAGTCTTGATCAATTAGGGTTTTGATTGAAGAAAGTGAATCATTGAATTTTGGATTAGTGAATGACCTAATGGCTTGAAGCATGATTCAAAAAACTCGAATGCAAAAAGAAGCAAAAATGTAGTCTTAGATGTGAGGATTAAAAGCCATATGTGTTTGGGTCTTGATTGTGCTTAGTTATAACTTAATTTAAATTTGAATTTTTTGGAGTGTAAACTTTAATCTGAAAAATTGAAATTAATGAGTGAGAATTAATTTAAATTAATTACATTTTTGAAATCCTTGCGAAATTCTAAGCAGGTTCGGTTTTTACATCTTTAAAAATGGTTGAGAAATGAAGAAGTTTGAAATTTATCATATTTTATAAAAAATGTTACAGTAACGATAAACAAGAGGTTGAAGATGAAATTGAAAATTCAAAAAATATTGTTTTATTACTTAGTTAATTATTTACATTTTAATCAATGGATGTATAGCCATCCTAATTGTAGCAGCGCACGTTTTCATGTCACTTTGTCCGTAAGAGCTAGGGTTCAAATCATAGTGAATCCCCCATTTTGCTTTTTTTTTTTTCCATATTTTTCTATTTTATGATTTTCTGGAGATTGTTTCAAATATTTTTAATTGAGCGCATTGCTTTCACAAATCTTAGCGCGTGATCTGGTGGTAAACCTTTTAGCCAATGACTTTGAGGGCACAGGTTCAAACCTTGGTAGCCTCTTTCCTTAACTTCTGTCACTCATTTTCTTTTATTTTTTAACAAACTTTCAAATTATTTTTCACCCATCAAAACAACTCATTTTGAGTTGATTTTTTGCACACTACTTATTTATCTACTCTATTTTATGAATATGTTAAAAAATTCCAAAAATATTATTTATTTCATATCTTTTTATAAACAAATACTTTTTAGTTGTTTTAAAA